GGCTTCTCCTTTCCCTTGCTCACAGGTCCAGCCTTGGGTTGGGCAGTGGTGTTGCTTGCAAGGGGAGGTTCTGAGTTTTCCGATCTTCATCTTTCTGCGGACCGACCTCAGACGCCCTCTGGACCTTCTGACCGGGGACCTCGGGTGGCCTTCCGTGCGATCTGGTGTTGCTCACTATGGGCGGGCATGTCCGGTCTGCGCCAGGACTAAGACTCCACGTGCTGGGAGAGCCGGTCTCCTTCACCCCCTTCCGGTCCCCCCCCTGCCCTTGGTCTGGTAGCAGTTGACTTCATTACGGATCTCCCTCCTGTCTAAGGGAGTACAGTAATCCTGGTGGTCTCCACTGGCTTTTCCCAAGTCCACACATTTTGTTCCCCTCCCAGCCTTGCCTACAGCCCAGGAAATGCTGATGCTGTTTGTTCAGCAGGTCTTCAGGATACATGGTCTGTCCAGGGATGTGGTTCCCCACGGGGGTCCCCAGTTCGTCTCTGCCTTTTGTCAAGCACCTGGGACCCGTGTATCTAACCTCTGGATATCCTCCTGAGGCCAATGGACATGTGGAAAGGACTAACCACAGCCTTCACATTCACAGCGCAGGATGACTAGACATCGCAGATACCCTGGGCAGAGCACGCCCACAACTCACTCCCCTCCTCCTCCTCCACAGGTCTCTCTGTTCCTCTGCATGTTGGGATATCGGCCTGCTCTCATCCCTGACACCCCTCCGGATACAGCCTTGCCTGCGGAGCAACACTACTTCCCATTTCCAAGTTGCGGAGGACCTGGAGAACGGCCAGGACAGCCCTCGCCAGGCCTAATTCACAAACTGGCACTGCAGACCCTGTTTTCTGAGAGGACAGTTCTTCTGGCTGTCCGTGAGCTTATCGTGAAGCTTAGCCCCAGGTGCCCGGGCCCCTGCCGGATTCTCTCGGACCACTCATCTCGCACTTCCTCCCCCCTTCAGGCTCCACCTGTCCTCCACACCTCTGTCCTGAAACCCCTCTGCCTGCCCCCCTAACAAGACTCGTTCTGGCAGCACCTCGACGCGGGGAGAGCTGGCCTCTGTGGAGCGAAGGGTGACAACGCAACCCACCAACGGATCACACAAGAAAGGACTTCCAAATGGGTTTTTTGTCTTTTTTTATTTTTAATTAGAAATTTCCTTACAAAAAATAACCAAAAATGAGGTGGGGTGGGTAAACAGGCGAGTGTAAAAAGTTTCTCCAACTGATAAAATGTTTTAAAAAAAAAAAATTGAAAAGCTACAGAGGGAGTGGCCGGTCACCTCGACTGGAATCGATTTTTTTTCCCTTTTAAGTTTTGCGTGAGCCTCTGGGGAGGGAACAGAGCGTTTCCCTGCTCCGCCTGCCACGCGGCTTTGTCTCGGGGGAGGGCACAGAGCAGAACGGCCAGTTCAAATCCAAAACGCAAGCTGGGGGGGGAGGGGGAAAAGCATTCACAGAACACTGAACACCCTCCCGCAGGGCAGAGAGCAGGCCGGCTCGCTGGGCTGGGACACTGAGCAGCACGCTCCCTTTCCGACAGGTGCTTAGAAAAAATACACTTCCATGCTGTTGACCTAGACTATGCGAACAGTGCTGAACAGCAGTTCACAGCAGCAGTACATCACTACGCACACAGGGCCCTCCCGTATTCACAGAGCTGCTCATATGTCATGTGAACTGGGCAACTTCCCACTGCTCTTCCGAACGGAGCTGGGCTCACAGGAGAGCCAGGCACTGCTGCTGCCACAGGGCTGCATTCTGTGCATTAAAACCGCCAGGGGAAGACGAAAACCTCTGTTTCACTGTGCAGAAGGTCGGGGGGGTCCCCTGTGTGCCTTCAGTGCCCCCCTCCCCCCTGCGGAGCTGGGTGATAACCTCGGGGCCCAGCGGGAAGGAGACAGCGGCGTCACACCGACTGAACAGTCCCGTAGGCCGATTCCTCTCGGCACAAAGCTCAAGATGATCCCGGCACTCGCTCTCCCCGGGCCTGGGAGCGCGGAGCACGTGGGAGTCGGTCGGCATGATCTCCACGAAGGCCAGCACAAACGGGCCGAGTGCAGTGCAGTGCAGCCGCGGCCTCTTAGCCTCTCTTTTGGATCGCACTGCTTCCTCGCGACAGGTGATCTACCGCGCGTGCTGCTAAACAAGGGAGAAAAGGAGAGCCGGGGCCGCCGCTCTCCCTGCGAGGCCGGAGGACTGGTGAGGGGAACGGCGGCCCCCAGCCCCAGGCCCCCCCCCCGAGCTCGAGGACAAGCTCGGCCGAATCGGCAGCCTCACCCACGGGTGCCGAGGCGGAGGGGCTGGAACTGGAGCAGCTCCCACACAGGTGCGTTCGCCGCATCTGAACGTTTCCTGGCGTTGGAGCGTTACGGTGGATTTTTGGAAGGCGCTCTGGAATCGGGGCGTTCTAAAGGGAGGATCGTTCCGGCAGTGTGTTTGGAATGGGAGCTCCCGGGGTGATCCGACTATCCGAACGGCTGGGCCCCGACCGCCGTGCTTGGGGGGGGGGTGCACTGGGATTTCCCCCGCAGGGCAGGGCGCTGCTGCACGGGCTGGCCGCCTCCTGCAGGAGACGCTGTATAGATGTGCGTCTTGGGTTCAGTGTGACCAGAGACGGGCACGGACCGCCGCCCGTGTCTGCAGAGCCTCAACACGGCCCGAAACGGCGATGACCCGTGAACACGTCCCGGACACGTCCTTTTCCACCCCAAAAGCGATGCCACTTTTCCCCCGATCAAGCCTTCTAACACGCTGCCTCCAACACGCAGTGCAGATTCTACCCTGCGGGTGTCAAACTCCAGGTCAAAAATGAGTCATTTCAAAGAAAACCTTTAAAACTACGCACAGTGTGAAAGTCGTTATTAGGCTTTTAAAACCACAATGGGGAAAATAAGGGCTTCAGTTCTCGAGACCTTTAAGACAGTCTACAAAATGTAACATTATACATTGCTCTTTCATTTTTGAAAATATATACCTTTTTTGTTTTAGCACATCCTAATACATTGTATGTGATATACACAGTATATATATATACACACAGACCTAAAGAGAGCGCGCACTCAGACTTGACTGCTGGGCGTCAGTTACCGGTTGACGTTGCTATTGCTCTGTTGCTATTGGCACTGCTCGGAAGTGTAAAGAGTCCAGTGGTATAGCTGGCTCTGCACCTCGCCCTAAACCTCCCTCCATCCCTGTATACCGCAAACATGTTCCCCAGGCTGAACAGGCACAAAATCCTTCAAAATTCTAAACCTGCTACGCAGATTATTCTGGAGTTACTGCAGACATTTTGTCCGCAGGAACCCAGACTGCAGCTCGGTCACGAGGAACCTGGGTTCCAAAGATCAATCCCAGGGCCCGACCCAGTTTCCGCTGTGCTTGTGATCGGCTGTGTTCCCGATCAGAAAGGTGGGGGGGGATTGTGCCCTGTGCTTTTTCTTCCCGAGTGTTTCGTGACAGCTGGAGCTCGAGGCCGGCCTGGGAATCGCCCTTTGTCCAGTTCATCCCGAATCGGCTCGGTTCGGCCGCACTAGAGATGGAGCGGTTCCCCTGGGTCTAAGCTGATCGGGCTGGACTCGTGTGGGCCCGGATTATGATTTTAGAAATGAGAATCAAATACTAAAAAAAAAAATTTTTTTTTAAGTAGTGACTGACATTGCCTTAATCCAATACAACTGTTTTAGTTGCGTTTTCCTGGATTTTTGTTGCTGCCGTTGTGTGCATCAGAAATTAAACAGAAGCACGCTGTTTCTGGGCTTTTATGGAAACCCCCTGCACTCCTCTCTAAACCTATTGTACAAAAGTGCTGGTTTTAAGAAGAAATGTGCCATGCTCTCTGGAAACCAGGTTCGTCAGGATTAATTATTGAGCGATTAATTTTAAGGGCGAGTTCTAAAAGAGAACTTCAGTGGAGTGTTTAGCACACATCCTTGTGTCTTGACTGCTCTCTGCTGATTTGTCCTTCGCAAGGCAGGAGTCCTGATTTCCCAGGATCAGCATCTTTTTAGTTTCAATTTCCTTTAAAATCATGTTGTCCTTCGTGGGCAGCAAACCTCTCATCAATCAAATGTAATTGTGTCAGATGGCTTTAGTCAAGAACAAACAGCTGCAAGTCCGCCTTTAAAAGACAGAAAACCTGATCATGGAAGAGTCACAGAGTATCTGCCGTTTATCCACAAAAAACGATTTGTCACAAGAACGACATGAAAGTTGGGTCAGAGTGTAAGATGCATTCTCTATCACCCTGTGTGCGTCTCAGCATTGAATGAGAATGCATGTGCAGCATCTGTGTCAGTCTTAATAGGAGAGACTCTTGTTTTTGACATGCAGTTAATTAACGAAGTATTTCTTATTTAAAATCCTGCAGCTAGAAGTTCTTAGCGAGACTCTTCTGTAATGGGAGGCAAGAGCTGGTGCCCTATGGCGAAACTGGAAGGGATCAGGCCGCTGTGCCGGGGCAATCGGCTAGTAGAGTCTGGAGGGGATCAGGCCGCTGTGCCGGGGCAATCGGCTAGTAGAGTCTGGAGGGGATCAGGCCCCTGTGCCGGGGCAATCGGCTAGTAGAGTCTGGAGGGGATCAGGCCCCTGTGCCGGGGCAATCGGCTAGTGGCTGTGCCACTGTTATACACGTGTAGAAGCATATATGCATTTTTCTATTTTTTTCTGGATCCTGATCCCATTCAGTCCGTTCAGAAAAGAAATAAAACGACACTGTTTAGGGTGAGAGTCCCTGAAGGACTTCTGTGGCTCAACTCTTTCCTCCCGAAGCAGGAAGGCCGAGATCCCCGACTTCAACGTTTACTCCCTCTTTTCTACAGTTTCAATGAAGCGTAATTTTCGTCCCAGCTATCATACCGCACAGACAGGAAAAACAGAATGAGCAAACAGGAAAGACGAGAAACCGTAAAACATAGCCCGACTCTTATCTGCTATCTAGAATTCATATGTATATTTCCGCTCCTTTTGTCCATCTCACTTTTCAGCTCGGGATTAAAAACAGACCTGGCGGGTGCTGCCCAAGGGCCTCACAGCGCCCCCTGCCTGTGCTGCTCGGTCACAAGTCCTCCTCCATGCTGAAGCTGCTGCGCCGGCTGCTGCTTTTGGATGCCCCCGGGGAGACCGAGCAAAGCAGGGGGTCAGCGGCCCCGACGGGCGACAGGGCGCCCCCATCGTCCATCAGGATGTCGCCCAGGCCCACGTCCGACATGAGGGCGGAGTTAAAGGCCGCGGCGGAGTCGTCCAGCTCCGCGAAGCTCAGGGAGCCCAGGTCATGGGGGCTGTTCATGGCCACGCCCCCCGGGGAGGTGGACGGGGGCGGGGAGATGTAGGAGGAGGGGAAAGGCAGGGCAGCCCCACCCCCCAGGCTGCTGGCTGGAAGGAGAGAGGCGGACAGGGCGTCGCCCGAGCTGGGCTCCAGCTGCTGGCCGCCCTGCTTCTGCTGGGGCTGAAGGAGGCTGACCGCCGGCTCGGTGCCGATGGAGGACGCCGGGGTCGCGAGGCCGTGCAGGCGAGCTTGCATCTCCAGCTCCTGGAGAGAAAAAGTAAGTCGTCAAGACAAAAAATACAGAAGATTTAATTTATTTTTACTTAGAACTGTATGCTTGGTTTAAAAATCACACATTTAGAAACAATGCCTGAATTCTCAAGTCCAAAGTATTGCTGTGGACTTAATGCAATGATGCAGTAGGACAGAGGAGGAGTCAGAGATACAGCACGCGTGCCCTGCATCATTAACGAGGAGCTACACATCCATATGGGTATGTACAGTGCGATCTGTGTGCATTAAAATTGCTCCAAACAGCTCTATATGCGCTACATATATGCGCTACACTGACCCTGTGCACACGTCACAACTATGCCAGTGGCTCAGAACACAGCTGGGGAGACAGTGCTGTATGACGGAGCTTAGCCCAGCAGCCAAATAACTTGCAGGGAGGAGTTACAGGCAGCTCAAACTGGGCACCGTGATTCTGTTTTGGATGGCACCACGGGATTTGGGAAACAGGTCTGGAATTTCTGATCCAGCCCGAGAGAGAGGAGGGGATGAAAGCCAGGAAGGGACAGGAGGGAGATGGAGCCAAAGAGCAACAGCACCACCCGGTGGTCAGCTGTCGTACCGCTCCTGGGCGGAAGAGTCTGGCTAGAGCAGGGGCTTGCTGCGTGCGTCTCTCACCTGAATCCTGAGCAGCAGGCTGCGGTTCGCATGCTCCAGCTTCTTCTGCCGAGACTCGATCTCCCTGGCTCTCTGCTGCTCCTTCTGCAGCTTGCGGATGTAGTCCACCGAAGCCTTCAGGATGGTGCCTTTGTTCCAGCGCATCTCCCTGTCATGACACGGGAGGGTCAGGAACATGTAGGAGATTTGTTGTAGCCCAGATAAACAACTTGCAATAATTGGGTGTATTTACATAGTGGAATAAATCGCAAAGGATCCCAAGGCTCTTGACAAATAGGAGTGAGTTACTTCACCCCCCACCTGGGAGACGCACAGGGGCCAGTCTGCACCGGCTGCCCCCCCCCGGGAGACGCACAGCATCGGCAGCCCCTCTGTGCTGCAGATCAGGGGGAGGAGTGAGAAACTGCTTCACCAGGTGAATTAAGGACGGACTTAAGGGAGACCAAACTGCTCCAGCCGTCTGCTCTGAGTGGAATTTCGTCACGACACCAGGGTTAGCACTGGTGCTCCTACAGACGGCAACTGGATCATCTCCCAGGTAGTGAGTCCCTTTGTTTGATATCACATCTTGAGAACATCAGCCCCTGCAGCACAGAATCACCACACTGAGGCACTGGTTTAGAGAGAAAAGTGCCCCCTACTGGTCCACCAGCAAACCTTATAGCTACAACCTGCTATTCCATGGAGGTCTCCCATCCCAGTACTTCTTGGATGTTAGCTGTTCTAATTAGTATGGTTGTATCATTTGTCTTGTTTTCTAACCCCAATTCCCAAGACTAAAGCCCTTGTGCTACACAGGGGCACAGACACCTTGACGAAGTGTCGTTGGACTCCACCCATCCATGGCAGTGCCCTGCCGGCTGTGCGCCACCCTTTGGGAAGTCCCTGTCATGGCTGGCTGGAAGCAGTGGGCTGGGGAATGTGGAACACACCCACTTGGATTTCTGTCCCGGTGAGGACTACCCCACTCCAGTTTTACAGCAGAGGCCCTCTGGGCTAGAACACGTCAGGGCACGTGTGTCGCACAGCCTGCTTCTCCTGTTCCTCAAATCTAGTCCCCACTGATACGGTAACACCTACACGTGCACATGTGCAAACGCGCCCACGCACCGATACACACGTTTGTGTGCAAAGTCTCATCGGAGGGCTGCAGCAAGAGGACACTTACGGGTCGCTGGACTTTGGGATGAGAGTTCCCAGTTCCTTGATCCGGTCGTTGATGTTAAATCTCCTCCTTCTCTCAACTACACACAAGCACACAGAGACACACAGTTACAGCTCGGCCCGTCGGGGGGGGGGGATCTCGTCGGAGCCCTTCCCATCATGCGTTGGGTTCTGGTCGTGGTCCCTGCTGGGCCAACCAGCCCTTCCTCTCCAGGGCTCACTGGCGCCTATAACTGATCTGCCTGCTCATTTCAACTGTTTTTTCTGCTCTCGGCCCTTCGATTCACAAAGAGAAAGGGGCTCCTCTTGCCACAAGCCCAGAGCTGAGGAATACCGATACCCTGTTACACCAGGCCTGCGCTGAAGAAGGATATTCCTGCTGTTTAGTATTTTACATTGCCGTACCTACAAATGCAAGCTGCAATTCTAAATTCATTGTAAATGAAAGACCGATCTGAAACCAGAACTTGCCCCCGACCCGGACATTAGGATCCGGGGCCCGGGTCCTGCCCCAGCACGGCCGGTAATGTGGGGCGCTGAGTGCCCACAATCACCCTGTACAGCTGCACAGAGCCAGCGGTCTGTTGGTGGCTCGCAGTGCGCACGGCACTCACTCAGGTTGTGGTTGTCCTTCTTCTGCCGCTCTTTCATCAGGGCCTTCGCTTCGGCTTCTGCAAGCAGACAAGTCAGACAGAGACCCGTTAACCGCAGACGGGTCTGGACCGCGCGGGGAGGGGTACCGGACGGCCACGGGGATTGTGGATCGCGAGGAAGGGGGGGGGGGGGAGGAGGAGGAGGGAAGCCTGCAGCAGGACGGGAGAGGAAGTGAAACGGGGAGAGGCAACATGGAATGACGGGTTCTCCCGGAGAGGACAGCGGAAAAGGGGCGAAGATCTCGGGATGGGAATGTGCGGGCTGGAGCGAGGCGGACGGAGCTGTGGGACCAGGTGTCCAGCGTCCTACCGGTCATCTCCTTCTTGATGTTGGGCAGGTCCGCCGGGCAGGAGTTACTGACCGTGATGGCGGGCGCCGCCACGCCCGGGCCGCTGTACACATCCAGCAGATTCCCCGACACCGGCAGCTGCGGAGAACCAGAACGGCACGAGTCAGAACCCGCGCAGGTCCAGTGAGGTCTGCCCACGGGGAGCGGCACCTTTACAGCAAGAGTGCTGGGTGTCTGGAACAAGCTCTGGACAGGGTCTGACTGTGCCGCCCGTCTTCTGGAGAGTGCCTATAGCTGGGAGCTGCTGGGTCAGACCCTACTAGTAACCAAACAAACAGGACAGACCGAATGGGCTCCCCTCCTCTCATTTGTAAGCGTACTGGAACAGTCGACTCCAGAACCTGCCCTACGACGCTAAGCTGCTTGTTTCTCAGGGGTTTCCCAGTATTTACAAAATGCTCTGTTATTCCGAGGGGAGGGTGAGACTATTGGTTTTGAAAAAGAAAGACTAAGTCTTCCGACCATTCACAGCACGGCCCGTCTCCACCACGCAGGAGTCAAAACACAGACACGGCTGCCGAGCTAATCTGTCTGGAAACAACACTGCGGAACAACACCGGGCCTGGTAGACAACACAGTCGGACACACACGCCGTTCCCTGCAGGCATCACCAGGCTCCAGGAGGCTGTTTCTGCCATGTGATGCCCACAGATGAAGGCACGACCCGAACATTCAGAACCGGGCCCATCGAGGTCATACCTTTAAGACCGTGAGAGCTCTTCCAAAGGAGAGGATACAGCTGTGGCCCGAAATAGTTATTTGCAAGTTAAACAAAAAGTCTAAGAAAGCAAGTAGCCCAATTAAGTTATCGATTAGCGCTGGTGATATAGAGCTTATCTAGAAGGGAAACCAGTAGACACAGTGTTCCTGCAGGACCAGGGCTGGGAATCACTGGTTTTATGCTAAAGGCTCTCAGAGAGGATCAGATAAGTTTTTTAACACATAAGGTGTTTACTGTCAACCTGGTGCATATACAGTGTACACACCGTATACCAGGTGTACAGTTACTAGCACAAAAGCCTGAAATTACAAAACAGAAACGTAACCGGATCTTCCTCAAGTTTAAATTGACAACTTCTGTTTGACTTATGCGGAGCAGAAAGGTTACAGAAACCTGCAGGCCCTGTTAACTGCCGCAACAGAAGAGTAGCAGGCATGCCTGGTATCAGCACAGTGTGCTTCTGTGTTACCACACGTGCTTCAGAAAAATACACCACAACAGCACAACCTTCTGCCCACATCCACAGACTCCCGGGGCATTTCTTCACAGCTCATAACAGCGCTGGGGCATCTATCCCAGCGGTTTCCCGGAAAGAGCAGGAATCTCCCAGGATAACCGTGAAAACACGAAAGCACGCCTGGCACCACCCTCCCCCAGTTGGGGCATTTTCTCGTCTTTTTCTTTAAAAAAATAAATAATCTGCAGTCGTATTTTACCTCAGCCTTCTTCCTCTTCTTGTCATGCTCTGGCAGCAAAACACAAATTCTCATCTTCAGCGCGATTCTCTTCCTCCGAGCCCCAGGAACCCCGAGAGCCGGCCGTAGAGAGGTGGGAAATGTGCTCGGTGGAAGTTACTCTACCGCTATCTCTGCTGCGCACACTGTGTCCTCCCTCTTCTTCCTCCCTCCCTCTGTCCCTCCTGCCTCCTGCCTGTTAACCCCACCCAGGGGCTGCTGGCCTCGCAAGTCTTATCTGCGTGTCAGAAGTGGATATTTACTCCCACCTCACAGACGGATTCCAGCAGCTCCCAGCGGATTAATCTGCACCATGAGCTCGGCTTCTTTCCTGGCAGGAGTAGAGCAGCTTGCAACACAACCTCATTCATTCTTTTCTGCTTTCACCTGATCTAAACTTCTACTGCCTGAGCTGTCTGTCCAGCTCTACTGGCTGTCTTATTATTACGAATAACAATGAAGTTGCAGACTGTCCCTGCAGTCTTCCAGGACGCCATATTGGAAGCCCTTGTGTTTGTGTCTTGTTTTTTTTTAATTGTGTCTATTCGATTTGGTAACTTTGATTTGGAGCGTGAGGCTGCCGTGTTTCTTGAAAAAATACACACCGTATTGGGCATCTGCAGGGAGGTGTCGATGAAAGACATGATGTCATCATTGAAACTGGACTCCAGGCTGATGATATCATCAATGACGTCATCGATCTGAGGACGGAGAGAGACAGGAGAGGAGATTTTCAAGCTGGTTCCCGAGCAGAACTCCTGAATTACAGAGCCCCCGTTATTACATTTACAAAGGGAGTTCACTAAATAGGATCACTTTTAATAAAAAAAACAATAGCGTGAATGATGGACCATTCATTTGGAAAATGAGTTTCTCTCAGAATGTTGCTGATTTCAGTGCAAGAGGTAGCACTAATATCCACACAGCAGCAGGGCATTCAACTCCGGGGACTACTGCACAGCAGTCTGACCCACTTCTGGTTCAATTCCAGTTATTACTGTTAAAAGTCATTTTCAGAACAGAAGAAGGTTGCCCAACGAAAGGAAGCCGATTGGCCCATCCAGCCTGCTTGGTAGCTGAGGATCTCATCCAGCTGTTTTTTGAAACAAACCAGGGTATTGGCTTCAACAGCCTGGCTGGGCGGACTGTGCCACACTCCCACCACCCTTTGTGTAAAGAAGTGCCTCCTCTGCTCAGTCCTCCGTGCTCTTCCACCGGCAGTTTCCACTTGTGTCCAGTGGTTGGTGTCTCACTGCTGGTTCTGAAGAAGAACCCCTCCGGGCTGTCTCGGTCGATGCCTTTGAGGAGTCCGAACACTTGCATCAGGTCTCTCCCATAGTCTTCTCTGTTCAAGACCGAAGAGTCTCAGTTCCTTCAGCCCGTCAGCGCAGGACAATCCTTTCCTCTTTTCAAATTCTAAAATCTATCAAATCGCATGTATCCGTTTATAGCTGCATTTCTGCTTTTTTTCCCCCTCCATTATTTGACCAAGAGGATTCAGCCCGAGAAGGCTCGCAGTGCTGGGCCACAGGAGCCTCGCCGCTGTTCCTGGTCTCCCTGCCTGCCTGCGGGCTAGTGCAAATGCCATTAGGGCCTCTGTGTTGTATTTGACGGGAGAGTGAGACGTGGGGCCTGTAATGTGAGACGTCGGTGAGGACAGGGATCCGGGGCTCAGACGCGGTTCACACGCTGACCCCCGGGGGCTGGAACTCACTGACCCCCGCGCAGCGCGAGAGGGGCCGAGAGGGACGAAAGGTCTCCCGCTGCTGCCGATCCCCGTCTTAGTTACTCGAGCTCGATACGTTCTAGAGCTCCTAGAGGTCACTGGTCTAGAGCTCTCTAGAGACCTCTAGAGGTCACTGGTGATCTTAACGCACCAGTCACACCAGACGGGGCTCTCTCGAGTCCGGGCCTCGACGAAAACCACTTAAAAAGCGACAGATGTCCGGAAGAGACTGTGTAAAGAGATATATAATTCGGAGGAAATGAGATTCTCCTGGGAGGCCGTGCGGAGTCAGGGGAGCTCTTGCACGCGAGCAAGCATCCCCCAGCGTCGCGGGTTTGGGGGACCTGTGCCGGGACTGGGGCGCCTTACCTCCTTCTCGGAGTTGGAGCCCAGGTTGAGCAGCGCCATGGGGCTGTTGGGGGCGCTGCTGGCCGCCGCCGTGAGCTCGGGCGCGGAGCCCGGCTGGGGAGAGGGCGACACGCCCAGCGCCTGGGTGGCCACCTTGTTGCCCAGGGTGGTGGACAGGTACTGCTTGACCTGCTGGCGCTGAGCCTGCTGGATGTGGTACTTGGTGGGGTTCTCCAGGTTCGTCTGCACCTGCCAGGGGGGGGGCGACAGAGTTAACACAGGCTGCCAGCACTGCTGAGCACACACTCACTCAACACTGCT